GACTACTGGGTACCTTACGAGGCATAGAGGAGCCATGCTTGGTTTGACTTTTTCTTTGCGATTGCGTATGACGTGTAGGTGACGATCATTCCACGTAGTTTCAGAGCTTTGCAGTGTTTGTTCATGGCTTGCTCAGGATACGTTGCGCCGTGATAAGTTTCATATGCAGAGACTGAGCAGGTTTGACGAGACGTGTCGCTTCTCACCCAAAAATGATATGGATGCCTGCATGCCCTCTTGGCGAATACTCTGCAAGCCGATAGCAGCACAGCACTGCCACTGCCCTGCGTGTCTAAACGGTCTATTGTGACAGCCTTTGGTCAGCCACCAAAACAGCGATCACGACCCACAGCGAACACTCTTCCTGTTGTCTTCTGGTCTCACCCTTGCGGTAAAACTGCTTACCGCTCGCTCATACTGAGCATTCTTTTTGTTTCTATGTCCGGCACATGATCATCGTAATTATGGCTATGCTTCGAGGCTCTGCCGATCCGGCGGGTACGCTGGCGACCATGGCTCCCGAAGCTTTTCACAAGGGGTGCTCTGGAGCTGCAGTTTTCTTTTCCAGTTTTTCTAGGTGGAATGGTTCTTATCCTATGTAATCCCATTCTAAAGCACATTAAATTCTGGGGCGTGAAGGAAGTTTTTACACAAGACGGCACGTACCCACACCTGGTCACAGAGTTGAAGGCTTGGGGAAAGGTTTCTGAGGTGATGGTCTAGCCTACCCAAAGCTTCCAAGCAAGCGCCAGTGGACAGTCAACTGGCTGGCATGAAGTCCTCCTTTCGTGGAGTTGGCCTGGAAAAGGATATCCTTTTTTTCTGTGGACTTTGTTCGGGACACGTGTGCGCGAGACCGTTGAATGGTATGGCCATTCCGATATTATCTACGTGTTCTGCTCTGTATGTGACGTACTCCTAAACAGGAGAGACCTACTTTATGCGTTGGCTCACCTGTGTCATCGGACCCTAGCCCGATAGTGGCTTGACTTGTGTGAGATACAAATTAGAGAGGGTCCTCCCCAAGAGCCCTCAACCTACCGAATGGCCGAAACAGGAACCTAATACTTGTGAGCAAAAGCCTGCTTAACAAGTGTTGAAGTCAGGGCTTACTTGGGAGTTTGCCACCTTGGGCCACGTTGTCCCACCTGAGGAAGTGATCCGTGGCAACTTCAACGCCAAGTGTGATGTGTGGTCATTAGGACTGCAATGGTAAAGCCTGCCAACATAGCCGTGTGCTGCCCTTCACCACAAGGATTTGTCCTTTGCTTTCTCCTGACTGCTGCTTCTGTTGGCGCTGCTCCTGCTGCTGCTCTGCTACTAGTTCAGCTGGCGCCAGCAGATAAGGCAAGCGGTTAGAGCAGCAGTGGCAATTGTGGTGCGAGGTCCCTGCAGAGCCGTGTCCACTAGGCAAGTGGCAGAAAGAAGTTTACATCTCCTCAAAACTCAGCACGTAGTTCAAGTCCTTAGCTTGGCCCGCGGAGGCTGATGACCCTCTATCTGAGACTTCACCTCTTAGACTTGAAGAGCAGTGCCGATGTCAAATAAGCATGGACAAAATCAGGGGCTAGTTTGTTTACCATTTAATTGCTGATGGAGGTGGGGGTGAGTTTCATGCTTTCTAAAGCTGCAAACTCGTAGTGTTCATTGGGGAGAGCTGCCAGCCATGCAGGAAAAGGAGGTTGGGCTGTCTCCGGCCCTGAGCCCTTGCCCTAAAAGCTGGAAACCCGAAGAGCTGTAGTCCCTTTTAAGTAGATAGAATATGACTTTGGGTATGTTATAATAAGATCCCCGTATACCCCATATTCCATCTACTTCAAGGGGGACTGTACTTTGGGAGGATGCTGCCTCTACGCCCTGCTTTGCCGCAAGCCCCTGCGCCTGGAGGATGTCAAAGGCGAATGCCTTTCAAAAGGGCTCTGCACAGATTGGGAACCCTGGAATGGGGGCTTCGGTCGGTATTATTCCCTACCATGGTGGACCACACATTTTTTAGATTTTTGGGGGGCTATGCATGCAAGAATTATTCCATTGCCGAGAGCCCGAGGCCCGAAGAGGCACAGAAGTGTTTCACCAAGCAAGGCCACAAATTCATGTTAGTAATCACCTTCAAGCTTTGGTCAGACACATTTCGTAGCCATGGCAGTTATTATAGTGGTGGTTTTCCAAGTGCTTGCAGGAGTACATTCATGACATTCTTGGCAATTCCTTCTCATAAAGGTCTATAGGAGTAACGCCGGCACCCAAACAGTGCCTCCCGCCTCCTCAATCAAGTGTTTCCTCCAGGAGGGGAAGCATCGCCATAGGGGAGGATTCGCCCAGCTTCAACCCATGCCCACGCAAGCTTATCTCTGCGCGCACTCCCGATATATACACACCGCGACCTTTTCTCCGTAGAAAACCTTCCTCCTGAAATAATCCTCAAACTTTGGCCAGGCAAAGGCGAGGTGGAGCTCTACGACTACTTCTACCCCTTCTCGCCGCCGCCGGATGAATCTCGCCCGGAGCCTCCTTCGGTCTAAGAACGCTGATCATGGAAGACTTCTCACTATGAGGCTACATACTACCTGGTCTTGATCAGGGGGTTTTGGTTTAGAGGAGAGCCAGGCGAGATAAGCTTGTGAGCGCACATCCCAAACGGGATGTGGCAAGAATGAAAAAACCCTGGAGCGAGTGGATGAAGCATCCAGAAAGATAAGGTTCTAGTAAAGAAAAGAAATGAAAAGAAGGTGAACGGTGGTTAGTCGTACTTCGAACAGAGATGCAGGGGACTGGCGATTTTCGTCTTGGGTCCGGTTTCCGAGGCTGGGTCTAGGCGTGTCTCCAGTGAAGAGTCTTTGTTGCAGGAGTTGAAGGCGTACATTGCGCGGCAGAAGGAGGGACCAGACTTTACAAGGCCCTTGGCGTAGGGACTGGCCATGGAAGCATCTTGCTTGAGCACAGGCATGGATGTGAGTGGTCATCGTTAAAGCCTCGCTTGGTTTGCCGTCAGGTCACCTCATCTTCAATGCTACGAAATGTTGCTAATCGGGCTTGTCATACTGACATCCTGTTAAAACTGGGCAATACTCTACCAGTGAAGCCTGTGCGAAACCCCCTGTCAAACGCCAGCTCTGACAGGTTGGAGTGCTCGGAGGATGCTAAGAAGCTTCTGACGCTGCTCCTCACCTACGACAAGGATTCTTGGGCTAGTGTGGCAACCCGTTTTGAGCTTTCTGACATTTCTGACGGTGTCAGCTATAGCCGAGTGCGCAATGATCGACGACGGGGAATGCAATCTGGAAGCTTTGCCAATACTAGTCGAAGTGGGACGTCAGTTGCGTCATGGCTTTTGTGGCAGTGCTGCCTTGGGTAATGGCCACTTGTGTCATGACCAAAGCAACAACATAGCTAGTGCAAAAACAATGTATTTCAGCAAGAACCAACGGACAACCTTCGCGATTTGGAAGACAGGAAGGAACCAGCAACATCCAGCAACACCACCTCCGCACCGCCCACACCCTCCGCCATTGCCGCTGTTTCCACCACCAATCCCACCGCCAGTACCAACAACAGCAACAGCACACGGCTGCAGAAGGTGGGTTGGGGGCATATTGAGGAGAAACGCGACATCTATGTAATATCTGTTTCGGCTTGTCGAGCAAGAAAAGGCCAGCCATGAGATGTAATCTTGGTCTTTCGATTTCCAAACAGCTCTGACTGTAGGGCTAACCTGCATTTCTTCAAGGCGTGAAGGAATTCCCTGAAGCCTGGGCCGGGTTTGTGGACCCCTTGGCTGTTTTTGTCGGCTTTCTGTTTGGGGCTTTCGCTCTGCACCTCTTCTTCGTGGAGTCAGTGGGAAATCGAGGGCTTTCCATGTGGCGGTCAAAACCGCACAGAGCAATCGTTCCGAACAGGTGGTGTACGTATTTAGGAGGGTTCAGAATCCCAAGCATGCCCAACTTAAGAGCTCCACTTTGGGCCTCAGGAGCCGCGCCCTTCCATGCAGAGGGTTCTCAGCTTGGTCCTGAGTCTTTGGCACATCTCAGCAGGGAACAGGTTTAGCAGTCTTGACACACTGAGAAGTATGCTTGAGGTGCCTGCTGTGCTGCTAATCCCATGCCTTTCTTCCAAAACTTAGATATGTCCGTAAGCCAGATGCGGGGCATTGCTACACAGATAATTCCCAGACATGGCAGGCAGGCGTCCAGGTACTTCAGAACCAGGAAGAGCCCCTGCCATGCTCCAGCTTTGCTGTGCACGCAGCCTGCCCGAGCAAATTTGGACAGCCTTCTCTTTCTGTTGGCCCCATGGCCGAAGAGGGGCGTGCCTTGTTTGAGTACAGCCGCCGCGGCAAACTTGAGGACGTGCAGGACGAGCTGGCCAACGGCGAGTCTCCGAACTCCTACTTCAGCTATGATGGAAGCACTCCGCTGCTAGTTGCTGCTCATGGTGGCCACGCCGCAGTCGTCTCCGCACTTTTGGAGGCCAAGGCAGACTTGGAAGCTCGTTCTGAAGATGGCAGCGATGCCTTGCTACACGCGGCGAGTGGCGGCAGTGCCGAGGTGATCCAGCTCCTTCTGGCAGCCCGTGCGGACCCCGGGACTTTGAACGAGGACGAGGTTTCTCCTCTCATCCTGGCAGCACACTATGGCCACGGCGGGGCAATCCAGGCTTTGCTGGAGGCGCGGGCAGATCCCAACTACAGCGCTCCTGGCTGGGGTTCAGCACTGGACTCTGCCACGGGGCCCTCTGTTACCTTGTTGTTGCGGCATGGAGCTCGCCGACAGGGTGGTCTTGCCAAGCCTGCTTCCCTCAAGGCCGGCGAGCACTTCACGTACAACTGCTTAGATGATGACCCAGCGGAGGCAGAAGCTGCCATGCTTCAGTTTGCAGAGCAGGGGCGTTCAGTCAGCAGCCCACGGGCTACTGGCATTTGCAAGCGTCGAGCTGGATGGCAAGCCAATTTGGGATGCAGTCTGGCCTGAATCCAACATCATATAGCAACATTATCCCAGCCCCAACCATCAACGCACACAGAGGATTACCGAGGCCCGTCATCAACGTGCTAAGGACCGAGCAGCATTTTTCAACAGTCAGCAGGCACCAGGCCTTTTGTGAAGTCCACTGGAGGATGTCTTGGTGGCGAGGGTGTGTCCTTCCTAAAGCTAGACTACAGCTTTGGGCTACTGCTGATGGCCAAATCTGCATATCATGCCTACCTGGGCCAACCTCTCACTTCTACCATATCTGCTTCTGGACACTGCAGCTGTGCAGCACACATTGCGCCTTGCTAGGCAGCTTGTGGAGGACCAGCCTAAGCTCGTTGCTGTGATGACTGCGTCCAGGAGTTTTTTTTTGGAAGTTTAAGGCAACATGCAGCATGCATGCCGTGCAAACCCTGCTGGCAGCCTGAGACGTGCGAAAAAGATCCCTACGCCCATCAGTGAGCTTGATATAAAACTCTTTTACTCTTTGTTGTCACGCGAGTCATGCGTGCGAAGGGCCCTTGAGCCAGTTCAGGCCCAGTTGAGGTGTGGAGCTGAGGTCATCAGTGGCTGGAGCTCTCCAAAGCTTCGAATCGGTTCTCTGAGCACCAGCTAGCCGCTTGGCCTTCAAAGAACGCATGACTTTGGGGCAAGTCAAGCCAGCAAGACAAAATGAGATACTGTACCTCCCAGACCTTGTTTTAACGAGAGCAGCATCGGGGTCGGGAATGGTATGCGTGCGATGTTGTGCCAATTTCGGTTTGCTTGTCCTGCGTGTTCCGATCGTCCTCAACGACCGAGTGCTGAAACTCGGCATGTCTCCACCCCGAAGCCCAAGCGCTCTGACAGAAAGCTGCGAGCCTTCCAGCCTGCTTTTAGGAGAGCCTGCTCCAGTTCCACAGGATCAACCCGCTTGCGCAGGCCAAGTGCCCACCTGCAGTGTTGAAATGTATGGAAGGGTTCCCTTCTGTTCTGGTTCCGTTCAGAATGTGCATCTACTCGTGCGGAGACCCCTCATGAGTTCAGTTGACATGTACCACGATAGAAGTAACTCTCTGAGTTTTGAACCCCAGGCACACGCATTATTATCACCTTGTGAAATTACGATGAGAATCACCAGAACATGCAGAAATCCTGTGGGATCCTGTAGGCTATACTGTTGGACCTGGCCTCCCAGCTTCCTCTGAAGCAACTGCGCCACTCGGCTGTGGAGACTGGCTGCTTCTTTCGATTTTCACTAGATTCTGGGTGTTCTGTGCACCGTGCTACACAGAGACACGTCTGATTCTTATGCTGCAAGCGCCGCAAGCTTGAATTACCCGAGTAGGGACAGGAAAAGTCAGGCTTGACTGCTTGATGGAATTGGTATTCCGCGGCTGCTGCAACAATGGAAGTCTGACGCGGCACTTAGGAGAAATGACCAGCTTGTTCGAATCTATGGACAAGGACGGAAATGGTATGCTCGATGAGGCGGGTTGTGGGTGCAAGGTTAGGCGCATGGACCTGGTTGCCGGTTGCCAAGGCTAGTCCATGAGTTTCATTGTCGCATTTAGACGATTTGGGTTCAGAAGCTTCGCAACAATAGGACTGCAAACCAAGCACATGGATGCATCTGCGGTGTGTTTTTACTCGATACCCGTCTGAGATGTTTGCATTGGAGGGAGCTTGCAGGTTGTCTCCAACATTGGTTTAATGCCTGACTTCGCGTAGACGCAACCCTTGCCCTGACAATCACACCTAGGACCCAAGCCCACTCCTGGTTGTTTCTACCATACCCCGGACAGGCTGGGATCGTACGTCTTTTGGGTTCTTGACAGGCCGCAGCATCAAGTCCCCCCACCCTGAGTTTAATCAAGAGACATAAACACCTGCATCTCATGAAAAATGCGATCGTGGAGCCTTGACGCAAGGCAGAGATAGCCGAGGGCCTGCGTGTGGCAGGCCATCTTGTTAAAAGGTTCTTAAGGCTGGAGTTGAGGAGAGCGTTGAAGATGTCAAAGCGAGCGCTCTTACCTTTATTCTAAAGATTCAAAAAGATGCCTAGTTGATGCAGTAGCTCTGGTGCAGGGTTCTCGTGAAGCCACCAGGTGTTTCAGCTACACTTGGCAGCATAATGGCATGGCCCGTTACATGCACATGCGTTGACTGAAGGTTTTGGATTGAGTATGCCTCGAATATTCATTGGAATCTGACAGCTACTCTTTGTGCACAGTGAATCCTGGTTGTGTGCAGAGATGGTGGGAGCAAATCCCACGTCCAAAAGACCTTCAATTCACAGCTGGCCAGGACTGTCGACAGTGGCAGCCACGGAGACCGCTGAGCGCTTGGCGAAAGGGGCAGGCCAGGGATCGTCGTGCCCGCTGTATCTCCTAAACGATTCTGTGTGTGCGAATCATCAGTTTGCTTTGTGCCAATGGTCGTCTGATTTTTGTCATTCGTATTCGCAGCTCCATTGCTTCCATCAGCATCATGCCTTTGAATACAGTTGTTAGTCTTAGTCTCTGTCTTTCAAAATTTAAAAATGACTGACGATGATCAATTCTTGCGTTATCATTGTGGTCAGAGTGTAGCCCTGGTAGTCAAAGAGGTTGAGTTCGCTCTTTTCCGCTTGGGGTTTCGGGCTCGATGGATTTCAAGGGCCTGAGCTTGCTAGTTGGCAGCACTTCTCCGTGCAGTCTCGAGCGCAACATTGTACTTGTCAAGGTGCTACTCCTACTGTTCCACGTCCTTTTCAACCCCAAGCCCTGACTACCATATCACCGTTACATCTCCGATGGCTACCATCACCGCTGACATCACCTGCCACCACACCCAGCAGCATGAAAGGCAAAGGCTCCAGAACAGAAAGCTCCTGTAAACCTAACCCATTGTTCTCGCAGCGCATGCCTCATGGGCAGGTGGCCGTTTAGAGTTCTCTCGTTTCGTGGCCGCTCTGGCACCATCCTGCCAGGACTCTGGAAGCCGCAATTCTTACGGCACAAGTCTCCAGTTTTTGGTCATAAACATTGGAGAGAACATGCTCTTTTTGTTGCTCCACGACTTTCAGGCTACGTGGGTTGCATGGCGTCTGTGTGCGTGCTGTTTTATCGTCAAATCTGCCGGATTTCGGGTTCCAGTCTCTCAAATGTGGAAAGGGTTTGGTAGGGCCATTCATGTATTTTCAGTCGCTGACTGTGGTATGAAGGAACTCGTGGACAGCCCTTCGGTATAGGTTGGGAAGATGTCATGACAAGGGGGAGAAGGCTCGAATCAGGCTATCCCCAGATAAATCCTTTTTCTGATTGAGCATGGCAGGTCTCGGTTCTTCGCATCGTTTAGATCTAGGACCTTGAAGATGGAAGCCCCCAACTTCTCCTTAGAGGACCTCATAGATGACGAGCACCTGCGCAGCAGCTTCAATCGCCTGGACGCTTCTTTGCTTGCACTTTCAGCCCAAAGGTGTTGCACTTAAGCTTGGCCTGTCCCAGACGCACAAACCCCAACTTCTAATTTCTAAAGCTACTTACAGAACCACCGAAGTGGTGGCAGGTCTGGTGGGGCGTGCAGAGAAATTTGCACGAGGACATTCAACATCCAGGTCCAGTAGATGCGTGAAACTCACTCTCTCATGAAATCTCGAACTCCCCGTCGAGCTGGTATTGCTTACGCCGCATAGCCAAGCGACTGTCCTGGAGCTACCATCTTCTTACAGGACCACACCACATTGCGTGAGACAGTGGTTCTCTTGGATCCACCTAGCCAAGAGGATTTGGACACCCCCCCGGCTGGCATTCAACTAACATCCAGCTTCCAAGGCCAACGGAGATGGATACGTGAGTCGTTGTTCCCTGGCAAAACTCTTGGGCGGGGTTTGGGGTTGCTGGTGTTAGGACAGGAAAGGCTTCTGAACTTCACCAGGTCCCGTCAGTATTGCCTTGCTGAGGCGCTATAGTCAACCCCCAAAGATGTCAAGGCCTTTCGATGCTTTAGCCACATGGTGACATGACGACTTCTGAAATTCAGATTTTCAGCAATTTCTGTTGGCTGTGTGC